AAAGCTACAGAACAGTGTAGGTGGCATAAAATCCTAAATATAAACAAACTTTTAAAGGGTGTTTGTGTCTTAACATTTCGAGAAGGACGAAATAAAACTAGTAATAGAAGCGCCACAAGAAAACAATTTCAGAGAAAAGGCTTTAGTGTTTTCTTACATATTTGTGTAACCTAAATTTAACCAAGTGCATATGTTAATTTTAAATGTCAACAGTTATGTGGACAGCAGAATTATGACTATTATATTATCTGCTCTATTATAAAGTCAAGTAAATTATTTTAAAGTCATGAAATTAAACTGCTATTTAGAATAGACATACTGGACAGGTACATATTATGCCTCAAGTTCATTTTTTTGAGACTCTGCCTCAGCTTCATTTCTAGTTCATGGAAAGAGCCATCACGTTAAAAACAAAAAGCAAAAAAACAAACAAAAAAACCCCGAGCCAAGGTGCAGTTGTAGAAAGGTGTTTCTTCTCCCCTGTGAACCTTTATTTTTAGTTTTATGCTTTAAGATATGTTCCTTAAATTTGATCATTTAGTAACTTACATTTATCCCAACCAACTCATTCTTCATGCCAAGAGAAAATAAATGGTGACTACATAAGAGCAATATAAATGATTGAAAAATAAAATATAAATATTCCAATAATAAACTGCTCTGTCTGCATCATCTGAATGACATTTTCACTAATATGAGCATTTGATCTGATAGCATACAGACACAAACAAGTTCACAAATATGTAAATTATAGGTACCGATGATAGAAAAAAAGAACGAAACCAATTTACCTGCAAGTACTGCTCACAATGTTAGAAACTGGCTGGCTGTAACACATTAGCACAGTTCTGATATACAAAGGCATCTTAAGTGGCTGAGTTCTCATACCAGAGAAAAACACAAAATTAACCCATTTCACTCTCCCTATATACATCTTTATAGACTTGGGGTCAGCAAACCTTTTCTTTTCCCTTAAAAAAAAAAAGCCAAATGTTAAATAATTTAGGCTTTGTGGGCCTCATGTGCTCTCTGTAGCAAACTCTTCACATTTTTAAGTAGTTGTAAAAAGCAAAACAAAACAAAGACCATTTTTAGCTCAGAGACTGCATTACAAATGGGCCACAGTTAGATTTGGCCCATGGGTTAGATTTCTTGACCCTGATCTTAACACCCTCCTTTTACCCCACATTCATCCGTACACTCACCCTGAATCCAATTCTAGTATCACACAGGCGGCAAAATATAGTAAGCAAGCATCACTCACGGAAATCTCCAACTTTTAAAGAAGCTATATTACTTTGCTTCAAGATTAAAAAAAAAAAACCTGTTACCTCTGATAATTGCAACAAATATTTCTGTGGAATAGTTACACTGTATTACATACAATGGTAAACAAATTTTGATTCCTTTTTAAACAACTTTATCGAGGTATTTCTGACTCACTGCATGTTTTTAATAATTTTACTGAGACATATTTTGCATTTCATATTATTCACCATTTTCTAATTTACAATTCATTTATTTTTAAATAAAATGATCATACTCTGGTTTATCTTCAGATCATATAAATCTTTCGCCTTTTAAATAAAGTGATCAAGTTGGGCAACCATCACCATTAACCAGTTTTTTTTTTTAATTTTTAAATTTATTTATTGATATTTAAAGAGAGAGGAAAACAGAGAGGGAAACAGAGAGGGAAGAGGAGAAAAAGTGAGAAAGAAATACTGATTTGCTCTTCCCTTTATCTGTGCATTCACTGGTTGATTCTGTATGTACCCTGAACAGGGATCAAATGCACAACCTTGTCATATTGGGACGATGCTCCAACCAACTGAGCTACCCAGCCAGGGTACCATCAACCAGTTTTAAAACATCTTCATTAACCCAATATGGTCCCTTACACACATTTGCTATTAATGCCCTTTTGCCTTTTTTTCCCACCCCCACCCCAGGTAAACACTAATCTGCTTTTTATGTTTAAAAATAAATGATCTTTTCTAGATATTTCATATAAATAGCATCAGACGGTATGTGGTTTCTGTGCCTGATTTTTCCAATGTGCATAATGTTTTTAAGGTTCATCCCCAATGTAACATGTATCCACAGTTCATTCCTTTTTATTGCTGAATAGTATTCCATGGGCTCTGCTGTACGTCCTTAAAGTGTGAATTTATTATGTTATAACATTTGTATACATTCATCACCAGGAACCATCACTAGGCAGGATAATACACATGTCAATCACCCTCAAAATTGTAATTCTCTCCTTCCCACCCTTGTTCCCAAGGCAACTATCGGTCTGTTTTCTGTCACTACACATTATTTTGCATTTGCCAGAATTTTATATAAAGAGAATCATAAATATGTATTCCTTTTTGTCTGGTTCCTTTCACTCAGCATAATTATTTTAAAATTCATCCATATTAAAGCATGTACCAGTAGTTTCTTTTTATTACTAAAGAATATTCTATTATGGAGGTATAACCAAGTTTGTTTATATATTCATCTGTCACTGGAATGTGGAATGTTTCCAATTTTTACCTATTACAAATAAATCTGATGCAAACACTTGTTTACACATCTTTGTATGGAGATGTGTTTTCATGTCTCCTGAGAAAATATCTGAAAGTAAAATGGTGAGGTCATAGAAGAGCTGATGTTAAACTTCTAAACTCCAAACTGTTTGCCAAAGAGCGGGCAGCATCGTGTTACATTCCCACGGTGGTGTGCGAGCATCCCAGTGCCTCCGCATCTTCACCAACACTTGGTATACTCAGTCCTTGTAATTTCCGTTATTCCAATGGATATGCAGTGATGTCATTGTGGTTTTAACTTGTATTACATGGAGGTTTTACATGGGGGAAAACTAAAGCTCAGAAAACAAGGGGGGTAATCTAGAACTAGGCTTTGAATCAGATAGTATGATTCTAAAACCCATTATTATACTATAATATTTAAGTGGTATTCAAAAAGATTCTCTTTAAACACAGAATAATCTTTGTCATTATACAAAAGCATTGTATTTCTAAAAGATGCAGGTAGTCTGATCTGCAGCTCATGTCTTAATCACTACGGTATTTGTTGAGAAGACTGAGTAAGATGCCATGGTTTCACATACTCGAGTCAGGATCTATATAAACTACTACCTACTGAGTATAATAAAAATATTACCTAAAAAAGAAGAAAAAATCTAGCTATAAAGATTCTTATAAAGATATTCTACGGTTCCCTAGCCCTGGCTGGTGCAGCTCAGTGCCTGCGAACAGAAAGGTTGCCAGTTCAATTCCGTATCAGAGCACAGGCCTGGGTTGTGGGCCAGGTCTACAGTTGGGGGCTTGCAACAGGCGCTGATCAATGATATTTCTCTCGCATGTCAATGCTTCTCTCCCTCTTCCTCCCTTCTCCTCTCTCTAAAAACAAATAAATAAATCTTTAAAAAAAAAACCAAAAGGATATTCTATAGTCCCCAAAGCCCAACCAGAACAGTAATGTCAAAAGCTACTATCATTTAAAAACTTTACTTAACCTTTAAAACCACACTGTGAAACAGAGAGCAGCACCACATAAATTTTACAGATAGGAAATCTGAGATACAACAACATGAGGAAACTTGTTTACAGCCTGCCACTCCCTAAGTAGCAGAAGTGGGATTCAAACCCATGCCTCTATAGCTCCAGAATATTCTCTTCAAAATCTGCACTTGAGTTTTAATTTTTTTTTTTTTTACATTACAATGTGTCTTCCCTAAGAAACAAGAAGCACTGCCATGGGCCTTTTGGGAACAAGTCAGTTCCTACGTCCAATTCTAGCAGAGCGCAATGCCAGGTGAACTGGAGCTAAGCGCTGATGGTGGTGATAGCAATGAGCAGTTTCCGATCCCTCACTGGATTAAACCTGCTTTGCCCCCGCCCCCCGCCACTCCGGCCCTTTCTAAAGTTAAGTTTTCTTCCATAAAACTAGTGAACACCTTTTGCATCTTTCTCATGATGTACAGAGGGCACAGCTCAGTTAGCCTGGACTACTGCCTGTTGGCTATAATGCAGAATCCCTCCTAGGAGTAGGATGGAGGAGGAGTAACAGCTCTTCAAATAACTGCAGCCATGAGGCTGGGTGATACAGGGGTGAAGAGTTTGAGCTCCTGAGGAGACTGGTGAAGTTCAAATACCTCTGCCTCATACTAGCTACAAGACCTTGAAAAAAGTAACCTCTCTGCTCTGTCATCTTAATCTATAAAAGAGGGATAATAATTTACCTCTCATAGGTCTGAGGATTAAAAGACAGAATATATACAAAGTGTTTAAAATAGTGCCTGGCAGTTGGTAGGCCTTTTTAATTTTGTGATCAATATTACTATTATCCCTATAATTATTGCACAGGAACAAAATTATATATATTAAATAGGTATTTTACAGATTCTTTAGTATAAAAAGATATTAGCAAGTATCTATGCACTTAAAACCACAACTCTATAAAATATGATAGATCTATATTAGTGTCCTAAAAGAAGCTTTGAAAATTGATTTCTAGCATCTTCTGTATATAGGCAAACGATTTTCAAAACCCATGAAGGGTAATCAGAAATAATTCATAAAAATAAAATGAATTACTCGATTCCATTAGAGTAGCATTACATACCTACTACAGGCTGAATATTGTGCAAAGTTCTATAGGACATACATTAAGATCCAGACCCTCCTTTCAATAAGCTTAAAATACTAGAGAACAAAAATAACTTACATAGAATAGATAATCAAATAAGGCCAAGTACAAGTAAATGTCGGTGGGTGGCACATAACTTGGAAGAAAGAAATTCTACAGTACCAGTAAAATGTATAAGTTCAATCAATAAAAAAAAAATTTATGAGTATATTTAGTGCCACAGCCAATGCTAGTGACAACAACAAGTTCAAAGGACTGGTATATTATAAATTGTTAATGAATCACTTAAGCAAAAAACAAAAAAAAAGAGGGTTATTGAATAATTTCCCACTGTAACTTACGGTTGCTATTTTGGTTTCGAGAAAGTTTTCCCTTTCTTCATCTACCTTAATTTCATGTCCAGTTTTAAATAACTCAAGCATTTTGGGGATGTCACGGCCAATGGAATCTGGTTAGAAAAATAAGAAAGCCAAAGTTATCACTCCATCTGAACAAGCAGCAAAAATTACTGAATAAGAAAAGCACTGCTCTCATGCTAAGACACAGTAAATAAGCTGTGGCAGAGATACTTGAGGGTGGCTTCCTTTCCTGGTGTTTCGTGCCTTGGTATAATCCCCTCCCCTTCAGCAAGGATGGGGCCTGCAACCTAACCAACAAGATGATCATGTATACATGATCGCACTACACAAAACTATAATACCTATTTTGGAAGACATTCTCTTCATACTGGCTGTGAAGAAGCAAGATGCAATGTTATGAGATGCATATGAAGGCCACAGTGTAAGAAACCAAGGCCCCTAGGTCAACAGCCTGCAAGGAACTGAATTCTGCCAAAAGGCCACATGAATCTGAATCCTTCCCCAGTCAAGTCTCAGGTGAGACCACAGCCCCCGTCTACACGTTGATTGGAGCTTCATGAGACCTATGTTGTTTTAAGCCACTAAATTTGTCGTAATACTGTTTGCACAGTAATAGATAACTAGTAAATGTATGCAGTGATGCTGCTTATCTACTTTAGAAATACTGATAAAAAATCTATAAAGTAACCCATTATAAAAGGAGTCTTGAAATCTTTTAAGAACATTTTACCTATCTTTGTATAAAATTCACATGATCTGCTTCACCATTAAGGGATCGAGGAACTAGGAAAAGTAGCAACATTTAGCAGTGGAAATAATACCACAGGAATGACACAGCTCATTGCTGTACAGAAGCTGGCAAGAAAAGAGTTAAAAATTAAAACTTAATTTATTGGATTCTAATGTCAACTTGTCCTCCATTAAAGTGAAAAAGAGACTGCAATTAAATATAGAAAGGAGAAAATTAGAGTCAAAGTAAAAACTAAGAATTTTTAGAGGATCACACAGGAGACTCCAAACATAAGCTAATCTTACTAATCTTCAGTCATTAAAATTTTAACTCAAATTTAAAAGATAAAAATACATATTTTTAATATTCCACAATGCCATAAATTAATTTGAACAATTTTCAATTTTGCGTGTAGAAAATGTATTCACGTATTTGAAGGGTAGGAAATACAATAAAAGAAATATGCTACTAAAGACACACCACTCCCACTGTGTCTCCCCAGCAATTCTTCCCATGATTAAGTCAATATCCAAAATTTATAAAGAACTTATATAACCGAACACCAAAAAAAATCCAATCAAAAAATGGGTCCAAATAGATACTTCTCCAAAGAGGACATACAGATGATGGCCAACAGACATATAAAAAGATGTCCAACGTCACTAAACATCAGAGAAATGCAAATTATTAGCATAATGAGTTACTGCCTCACACCTGTTAGAATGGCCATCATTAATACATTCACAAACAACGACTACGGGCAAGGAAGTGGAGAAAAAGAGAACCTTAGTGCACTGTTGGTAAGAATGCAGACTGGTGCGGCCACTGTGGAAAACAGTATGAAGTTTCCTCAAAAAATTAAATATAGAACTACTTTATGACCCAGCAATTCCACTTTTGAGAATTATGTTCAAAGAAACCTGAAATATCAATTCGAAAGAATATATGCACCCCTATGTTCACTGCAATGTTATTTACAATAGCCAAGATTTGGAAGTAGCCCAAGTGCCCATCAGTAGGTGAGCGGATAAAAGCACTGTGATATACTTACACAACGGAATACTACTTAATCATCAAAACGAAGGAAATCATATCATTTGTGACAGCATGGATGTACCCGGAGAGTGTTATGTTAAGTGAAATAAACCAGAGAAAGACAACTACCATATGATTTCACTTATACGTGGGATCTAATGAACAAAAACAAACAAAATAGAAACAGACTCACAGATATAGAAAACAGACTAACTTCTGTTAAGGGGAAAGGGGTTAGGATACTGGGTGAAAAAGGTAAAGGAATTAAGCAAAACCAAACCAAACCAAAACAAAACAAAACTTATAGACACAGACAACTGCATGGTGATCACCAGAGGAAAAGGGGAAGTAGAAGAGTTTGAGGATAAATGGTAACAAGAAGACAATACTTTGGGTGGTAAACACACAATATAATATACAGATGATGTATTATAGAAGTGTACACCTGAAACCTACATAACTTTATTAAGCAATGTCACTCCAATAAATTCAATAAAAAACTTTTAATCTCATTATATAGAAAGCACGTTATACCTTCAGCATGTTACTTTTAAGGATCATCTGAGTTGTTCAGTATGGCTCAGGAGCACTTTACCCACAAGGAGTTTTAAATTGAATTAGGAGAAAAGGGACATGCAGAGGCAACAACTAGTGAAAAATACAAAGTTTTTTTTTTGTACCACATTCTGATGCAATTGAATACTAAATGGTATGACAGATTAATAATAAATGGTAAGATACTAATACAGTAGTTCCTCATTTCCACCATTTAGCTTTCCATAGTTTCAATTACCCATGGTTAACTGAGTCCAAAAATATTATGTGGAAAAATTTAGAAAAACTTCATAACTTTGTAGCTGACTCCATTATCAGAGGGGGGGGGAGAAACCACATTCACATCCCTTAATTACAGTGCATTTTACTTTCAGCCTATTTGTGTTTGAATATCAAGTGTGTCTCCTATAGGCAACATATAATTGGACTGCTTATTAGTCATCTTATAATGTCTGCCTTTGGTCAAAGTGTTTATTCCATTTCCAATTAACCTAACTGTTGATATGACTGGATTTAGGTCTTTATTTTAATGTGTTTTCTATTTGTCTCATCTCATCTGTTCCTCTGTTCTTCCTTTACTGCCTTCTTTTTGTTTTAAATGAAAAGTTTTTAGTTTATCATTTTTATTCCTCTATTTAGTTTGAAGATATATCTCTTTTTGTGTGTGTTTTATTTGCTGTAGAGATTGCAATGTACACAATTATTTATTATAACCTACTTCATCTTAATACTGATTTACCTCCAGGAAAATATTATGTCTCTGCCAGCATATCTCCATTCTCCCTACTTCACCTCGTGATATTATTATCCCCAAACTTGCCTCGTCTCCTGTATATCTACCTTTAAAATAGTATTCACTGGGCCACTCAAGACAGAAATCAGAGAATCATTCTGGATTCCTCCCTTTCCCTCACCTCCACATCTGATCAGTAACTCTCGGTAATCCCATCTCCTCCATATCCCACAACAGCTTCCTCTTCTCTGTCGTCACTGCCACTGCACAAATTCTGTCCTTATTCATCTGTTACCTAGGCTGCGGCAGTGGCCTCCTCACTGGTCTCTGCTCTCACTGCTTCATCATCCTCACATCACCACTCCATCACTTACACAGCTCCCACATACAGTCATTCTAATAAGCAAATCTTCTATCATTCTTCTAAGCATATTTTTCAATGGCTCCTACCTGCTCAGAGGATAAAATCTAATTCCCATGGCATGGCACACAAGGTCCTCCGTGACGTGGCCCACTGCCTGTCACTGTCTGACCTCACTGAACACCACTATCTGATAATACTTTATGTTCCAAAAAAGAGAAAGCTACTCATAATTTACTGAACATAACTGGCATACTCATCCTTTTGTGCATTAGCACAGGCCATTTCCTCTACCTGCAATGTTCCCCCATGCATGTCAGGAAAGAAAATACCTATTCATGCTTAAGTGCTCAACATAGCTGGTACCTTCTTTACATAATCTGATTCTACAGAGTAGTCCCTCATTCCTCTAGCACTTTGTACCTTTCCCTCCGGTACACTTCTAATTTCTCTCTCTGTTCAATTTTTATCTCCTTAAAGATGGGAACTATCTTTTCAATCTGCAGTACTGCCTGGCACATAACAGGCAGTCAATAATTATCTGCTCACTCAATAATGAGTTATGAAGGTAAAAATGATATCTGAAGACACGAAAAAGAATGAGTTCTCCTAAAATAATTATGGAGCACGAAGAGCCACTTAGGACTTATAGAGAGTCAATAATAACAGAGGCACATATGTATGATAAACTTGCTATATACCCAGCCTATGCTGAGCTCTTGCATATAACAAAACACCATGAGAACGTAAAACACATTTTGTAGATGAATAAACAAAAGGCACAAAAATGTTTTTAAAAATTTGTTCAAGGTCACAGGTAAGTGACAAAGTCATGTCTGAGAGAGGTCTATGTTAACCACCATTCTATTCTATTTTGCACTATAACCCAATGTTAAATCTTCACAGTTATTTCTAGGGCTTTGCTATCCCTTTTTGCTAAGTAATTACTATCCCTTCCTCCTTTCTCTGGACTTTTACGTTCTTCTACTCTTTTCCTTGTTCTTAATTCCTTCCCTTTCTCTTCATCTAATTACCTCCATTTGATTTCCATAATGAACATAATAGAGGGTCAAACTATAAACTATATTGTCAGGTATTTCACCCTGATGCACCCTCTCTTTTTCTCTTTACCAAGGAATATTACAGGAAGAAGCAGGTAGAATAATAAAAGATAAAGAAGACAAAGAAGGAATAGCTAGTGAGAAAGGAGGTAAGTTAAGATTACAGAGTGTAAAAGAAAGTTTCAAGGAAGAGAGAAAACACTAAGACCAGATCTTTAAATGTGGCAAGAGAAAGACTCATGACTACTACCGAGAGCCACATTTTGGCTGCATGCAAGGGAGAAAGATAAAAGAAAGAGTAACGCTTGGTAAGGAAATGGAGACAGCCAACCACTAAAAAGAATTTGTTTGGAAAAAACCTTATGTGAAACATCAGAAAAAACCAAAGATGTATCTAGAAAGGACAGCTGAATGAAATGAAAGTTTGGGGGGAAAATGTTTTATTTTCAGTCTGTCTGTCTAACTAGAGAAATCTGAGCATGGTTAAATGCTCAGTGAAGCTCACTTATGTACGGCAGGAAATGGAACTCTCAGCTCCAAGACAGCAAGGACCCTGTCTGTTTTTTTCATGGCCATCACACTCCAGGCTCGGCTCACTGCAGATACTCAATAACTATAAGTACAATTATTTTAATCCAAAAAAACTCCTACAGCCCTGGCTGGTGTAGCTCAGTGGACTGAGCACGGGCCCGTGAACCAAACGGTGGCTGTTTCAATTCCCAGTCAGGGCACATGCCTGGGTTGCAGGCCAGGTCCCCAGTAGGGGACACATGAGAGGCAACCACACGTTGATGTTTTTCTCCCACTCTTTCTCTCCTTCCCTTCCCTTCTCTCTAAAAATAATTTTTTAAAAACTCCTACAAATATAGATTTTCTACTCTTCAGTTACAGTATTTAATCTGTATTTTCTCACAACTGAATGCTGTGCTAAATGTTCAAGCACTGTACAAATATTTCTTGTGCACCAACTATGTGCCAGGTTACTACACTAGGCCATAGCAATACAGCAGTGGACAAAACCAAAAAATGCCCTTTAAAGGGAGGAATATACATACACCCACAAATTTTAAAAGAAGGTAAGAAGCCAGAAGTATTAAGCCCTAAAAAGAATATAAAAACACAAAATTAGAAATCCAGTATTAACAGGAAGTGACAGGTAGTATTTTATATACAATGGTCATGGAAGGCCTTTTTGTTTAGATTATATTTGAATGAGAAAGTAAGCCAGGAAAATAAGCAAAGAGTATTACACACAGATGGACAATAAGTCCAAAGACCTGAGAAAGGAGGACATTTAGTGTGTATGAGGAAGGGCAAGGGGGCTGTGGTAAAATAAATTTTAAAAAGAGAGTAACAGAACCAGCTGTCATACATCAATAATTCATCTGTAGTAATTATAACCGTAACTAACCATTAAAATCTTTCACACATAAATGTTTTTTTAAACTAATACACAGGGAGAAAAAAATTAGAAAATTTCAAATTGATTACTCCGTAAAAATTCCTTTTTCAGTATTTTTCTTCATATAACCAAAGAGTTCATATTGTTTCAACAGTGCAAGCCATACCACGTCAGTTTATGAGCTAAAAGTATTTTTCACATTAGATTTCAATAATTTTACATCTGTTACTATCGAATGTGACGGAACACCAACCTCCCTACAAAAAGCAGTCCCCTGCTCAGCAGGTGGGAATATTCTTTGGACAAGTCTGCTGGCGTATCCTTTTGACAAGACTCCAACTGGAACACTGACATTCAATTCTAAGAGCTATATATTAAGAGAAAAACACATTAATGGGCCCACTTTTTAAAAATCCTTACTCAAGGACATGTTTACTGATTTTAGAGAAGAGGAAGTAGAGACTGAACCTGAAACCTTTTGATGTAAGGGACGACACTCCAACCGCCTGATCCACCCAGTGAGGGCAGTGGGTCCACATTTTAATCACGTCCCTTTCCCAAATACCTGCCTAAAACTTAGTCTGGTTTAAGAGAACCCAACTGTTCCCACATATGCTGCATGGTTTAATGTGCATAATAGAAAACTGATTCTATTAAGTCAAGATATTTTTCATACTAGTATTTTCTGTTTAAGTAAATTCTAAATAATATATAAAATTGGGAATAAAAATATCAAAAATATCAACAAAAACATATCTAAATTACATATAAAAAATTCAGAGGGCAGTTATGTTGTGGGGGCTAGGGGGAAGGAAGCTAGTTTACAAGCAAAACAAAACCCATTTTCTTTCAAGAAATTTTAAACAGCAAGTTTTAAATGTCTTTTTTTTTCTGAAATAAAAAAGAAATACTTAGAAAACAAGCCAAAAGTGTATCTGAAAAATAGAGAAATTGCCTACTGTTACACAAGCAATTAAAATTTAAAAAATAATACAAATAAAACTGTATTAAACATGATGCAAAATATGAACATTCGATCCAGCCAAGGCGGTTACACCCACTCCCATTAGTAAAGCAAAATGTAGGACGAAATGGGAAACTAATGAGCTTAGCTGTAGGGGCTTGTTTATTTTTTAATTTCATGCATTTGCTCAAAATGTAATTTCTATTTTACCCTAAACTCTTTTGTTGGCTATAAGGGGAATCAAACGTTCCTAAACAAGAATTTGAACAAGCTCTGAAAATTCATAATGCAAGCTTCATTTGTCCTCATGCACATCTGCTGTATTCTGTTTTAACATTTTTGACAGGTTAATCATTTGTCTTCATGTTTAAAGAACACGAATGTTTTGCCAGTGCTGTTAAACAGAAAATGTGGGGGTGAAAAGAAAAAGTTAGAGAAGGAGAAAGGTCTGTCAGTTTTTTCAAGGTGCTTTGTTAAGCAAATGAGTGGGTGGGAGGCATATCCGCAGGTAACCTGACCCTGGTGAACAGAAACCGTGATTCATTATGAAAGTAAAAATAAAGCCGTTAATAAAAATAAGCATTTTGAAGGAAAACTTTTATTTGATATTAAGTTATCTGAAAACCTTTCAGACTAAAAACAACAGTGCCAAATTTTGTGATGAAAGTGATCCTTTGAAAAAAACCCTCAAGGCTAAAAACATAAAGGCCTAAAGGGTTATTCAGAGAGTGGGTAAAAGAGCAAAGGTGACAAGACTAACTTCTGTGAGAAACCAGTTCCCTGAGAAAAGCAAGGAGCTAGCTGACTAGGTATATTCAGTACATATACAGTTTCAGTGTTAATGGACTATATTTAGTATTGTTTGGTTTTGTTAGGCTTGAATTCAATTAGAAAAAATTATAAAAAATATTTTCATCAAATTGAACTGTAATTCATGTTTAATTTTAAAATAATGTTCAATTTCAGGTCTCTCTTGGAAAAGAATATTAAGTCTGATTCCATGACAACAAACACTATTGTAATGGAAATTCCTAATAACAAGTGCCAAACCTCAGCCCAATATTTAATGAAGATGTATTATTCAATGCAGGCTATCAAAAATAAATAAATAAAATTCTGGTGCAACAAAGGAACTGGAGAGTACATAAGAAACTGCTTTAAGTACAGAATATAATCTATAATTCAGACTGGTATTAGAGGCCACCACATATGATAAATTTTAGCAAGATTTTTCAGCTCAAGTAGAGTTGAAATGTGAAGCCCAATCTACTAAAACAATTTAAAAATATTTGTTCTGTTTACACTATAAAATTTTATTTGAAATTACACCTATTTATCGCAGATATCCAGTACCACCTAAAAAATTCTCAGCCTCATCTGACTCTTCCCTTTCTGTCTTTCAACCTGTCCATTCTTAACTACTTGGTGCAAAGTCCTAACTTCTTACACATCTGCTCTCTTCATTTCAGTCTCATTATGAAGACTTTAAACATTACCCATATTAGTCTCTGGTAACTGCAGTTCTCTGCCTGAACTGGTCTTCCGGCTTCTAGTTTTGGTGGATGTCAATACATCTTATGAACTCTTGCTAGATTAAACATCTAAAGAACTCCCCACCTTAAAAACTGCTAGAGGATTCCTGCTGAATACAGAAAAGAAGTCCAAGCTTATTAGGATCTTATTCCAGTTCCTTCTGAAAATAACACCAATCTACCTTTCCAACACAATTTCCCATTATTCTCTTTCTTATCAATGCAGAGGTATCTTTCAACATAACCAAAGAGAACTAATTGATATTTCTTGTACGTGGACTATAATTTCTGACTTGCTTCAGTGTCTAATAGATTCTATCTACCTAAAATATTATTTACCTTAATCTACTCATCCAATTATCAAGGTCAGTTTAAATGTCACTCCCTAAATGATGCCTCCTCTAATTTCCCCACCTATGCATAAATTCCTCTTCTACTGAACACATGCAGTACATCATGAATTTATCATTTAATACTTCATACTTTCTAACATGGCTATTTATGTACCAACCTTACCTCTCTTACTAGATTTTGTAAGTGAGAAATATCCATAAGGGAAAACAATCTGCAGACCCATGCACACTATAAGCATTCACACACATGGTAAATGCTGATGTAAATTAGCATACATATTATATTGATAAGGAGGTAAAAATCAGTATGACGGTAACATACCTGGTAGGTAATACATTCAATTAATTTCAAGCTAGAACGTGACTTAAGTTTAAAGTACTACATAGTAATTAGGTTTTCAAATTATAATAGACTATCAATATCAATGCCAAAGGGAGGAAAAAATCAAATCTGCATGTTCTTATACAACACAAAACTCAAATACCAGGACATATCCTTTATTCTACATATTATATTAACAATTTTGTTTTCTAACTAAACATATATTAGAAAGTTGTTGATAGTATATTAAAATAATAAAAATAATAAAAAGAATTCTCCCTTACTTCGAGTAAGCTTTGGAAATCTTTTCTTCAGTTTCTTCCTTAAAGGATTAAGCTCGGGCATTATTTCTGGAACAGCTACATAAAAGTCTGATTGAATCTCATCATCCAAAATCTAAAAATCAGAAAAAAAGATAACCTTAGATTTTAAGAAAAACTTTTTCCTTCTGAAAATAAAGTATAATGCAATAATTTCCCTTATAATTTAGAAAACAGACATTAACCACAACTTCTTCTTCAAATGTAAGGATATGAATACATTTAACAATTATGAAAACCATTAGAATCAAAACATTTTCTGACCTTTCTTTTAAAAACAGCCACATCCATTTAAAATATATATATTTAATAAGTTTAATTCTTTCATGAGGTTATGTTAGGTAAATGTGTTAAGAAGCCAGCACATAGCACTGATGTGTATGTGGCTCATAATATCCCAAAGCTGAATTCATATGTCCATTAAAATCAAAGAAACATGCCTAAAATTTTGCAGTACACACGTGTAACATTAATAACCACTAGCTGCCAAATCACTAGCAACCACACTCCCTTCCTAAAGTCAGAGCATCAAGAGAACCGAATCTGTAATTATTTTCACAAAGAATTGAAATTAAAATTCTCTTTGCCTCCAATAACTAAAAATAAAACAGTGGGACTGTCAAAGACAAGCTCATTTACAGTTTCTTTTCCATACCCTAATTCCATTCTAAGAACAAATAATATTAATTTTGAAAGGCATTTTTAATTTAATTTAGGCAAGCACCCATAATAATTATTATACTACTATAACATACTCCATTTAAAAATTTAGTTGATTATAAAATGAAGCAACTTTTTAGAACAATACTGCATAGGCAATAAATATAAGGGCCAGCAGAAGTAATGCCACTGAGTGTGGTTGGTAAGGTACATGAATGTCTCACAGGAGACAGACAGCAATTTTAATATTTCACCTAAAATGTCATATGGTGTGCTTGAGTATGATATTGTTATGTTACAGAATTACTTACATATGGTTTTATAATAAAAGACTTTAATGTAATTAAAAGGGGCATTATTTGTGCCATAATCTGTAATTTATCAATGATTCTTTTTGCTTGAAATCCTACCATCCTATGTCATTCAAAGCCATGGTTGGGGATTATAGTGAACCTTAAAGACCTGAACTCTGGCAAAACTAAGCTGTGACTCTGAAATTTCATCCTGTTACTATTCTTTCTTTTTATAAATTTTTTATTCCCTAAATAACACAGTGTTCCTCTTAATAATAATAACTTAAACAAGCACTTATCACATGCCAAGCATTCGCCTAAATACTTCACATAATTTAATTCATCCAGTCTTTACAACAACCCTACAAGGCAAGTACTACTACTGACCACACATTCCAGATGGAAACTGAAAACTTAGGGAGGATGAGTCAACCTGTGCCCGTACACAGGACAGACAAAGAACTTAAACACAGGCAGTATGGATCCAGAACCAGGGCTCTCATCGCTGGAACTGTGAAGCCAGATGCGATTTTGAAATGTCAAAGAACAGTATGTGAATTTTCTACTCTAAGACCTTCCAAGAGTAATCCTAAAACATGTTTCTTTGAATTAAATTAAATTTAAAATTACATTGGAAAGTTATGCTATAGTTGATCTTAACATTACAACATTCTATTACATTGGAATACAAAATTAAATAGAGTGAAATTATGCTTTAGAGACAAGTAAAAATAAAATTATTTTTAAATTTCCTCAGAACCATGCATACTTGTGGTATTTCAAAACAAAGGAAAGTAAATTGTGGAAATAAATTAAGGTCTTACCTAAGACCTTTCTTACCTAAGAAACAACTAAAAGTTCAGTAAATTTATTCTACATTCACCTATTAGAAGCACTAAGAATAATAATATTTAAGCTAGTTAAAAAATACAAAAATGTGTAAACAAAAATGGCAGACAAGATACTACTTATAAAACTGTACTGAATTTACTTACTTCTATACCTGAATACCTCTAAAAATACCATGGATGCACTTTAACAGGTACCAGGGGGTAACATGCAAAACTGTACTGGTTATGATGCCTTATATAGATGACATTTTCCTCTCTAATAATAGATCACTATTGAGGCACTGAAAGAGAAATTCTGTCTCTATAATAACATTTTATTTATCAAAAAATTTCAAAATATACTGGGTTTCCTTATTTGGGTTACTTTTTCAAATATGTTTTAATTAACTTAATGCGACAGAACACTTCCAGCTCTCTTATCATTACTTTCTTGAGAAGCGAACTTCTTTTTTTTTATTTTAATTGTTGTTCAAGTACAGTTTTCTGCCTTTTACCCCAATCCCGGCCCAGCCCTCCCCACCTCCCTCCCATTCCCACCCCTGCCTTGTTATTGTCCATGTGTCCTTTGTACTTGTTCCTGCAAACCCTTCCCCCTTTACCCTGAAATTACCTCCCCTCTTTCCTCTGGTCACTGTCCCCCTGTTCTCAATTTCAGTGTCTTTGGTTATATTTTGCCTTGTTTGTTTGTTTTGTTGATTAGATTCCTGTTAAACGTGAGATCATATGGTATTTGTCTTTCACCCGCTGGCTTATTTCACTTAGCATAATGCTTTAGAAGTTAACTTCTTAACATTTAAAGAGTGAAGGTAAACTCCATTGCTGCTATGACAGTTCTGTAAGATACTCTTATGCTTTCAGGAAGAAAATGGAAGGCAGTCCGCAAGCTTAATAAGAATAGTTCTCTGCCTCCAGAGACCAACCTCTACTCTCAATCTCAGAAGACTCTGTGTGGTATTATGTTTAATAATTTTATTAAATTAAAATTCATGATACATCAGTAAGAATTGAATATCACTCTCCTTTACCTGAAATCTGTATGAAAGCATAATCTCTTCATATTTCCCATTAGTTCTGTTCTGAAAAGTCAATCTGGAGACTTCCATTAAAAATCCAGAACCCGCACCAAATTTATAGTTTTACTGGGAGAGAAAAAAACAAATACAGCCCTGGCTGATGTGACTCAGTGGACTGAGCACCAGCCTATGAACCAAAGGATCCCCGTTCCATTCCCAATGAGGGCATATGCCTGGGTTGCAGGCCCCAGTAGGGGGCGCCACCAGATGCAACCACACACTGATGTTTCTCTCCCTTTCTCTTTCCCTTCCCCTCTGTCTAAAAATAAATAAATAAAATCTTTTTTAAAAAGAAAGGATAAAAAACAAACTACAAGCGCTGTTATACATCCCAAAGGAGGGTTCCAGTATAAACTTCCCCTAAGCAAAATCTGAATGTGGGACAAAAGACAAATTTTCAAATCACACTGTTTCCTGTTCTGAAAACAAAAGGAAATGCATTCCCAAACCTAAATGATTAAATTTGGAAAATATTTTAAAGAATGTTAAGGAAAATCATTTGTACTTGAAGAAATAACTCCCAACAGTCAACAGACATGCCTATTCTTCTTACGTATTTTTAAAGAAAAAAGTCCTGTTTTGAACAGGCTCCACAATTTTTTTTCTCAAGGTAGGCTACATAATCATTTGTTGCCTCCATGCTGAGCCTATGTCACTCTGAACTGAAGGGAAGGGGTTGAGGGGTGATGTGTAAAAAGTCAAAAGTAATCCAAAGTACCACATTATAGAGGTCAGATAACTATCTTTTGTGATCTAGTAAAATTAATCACACTTTTCACTCCAAAAAAAAAGGCAAAACAAATATATGATTTCCAGAACATGAATGGCGATATCTATGTGTGCTACCTTTAGGATTTCACTTAAATCTCACACTGAAACCATGAAGAGTCATACCACCTTTTCTAATCTACCCTCAAAACTCACAAAACACACAGGAAGCAAGAAAAATAACAATCACAGTATCAATCAGGCATAATTCATATCAGAATGTCTGGATAGTTTTTTCTTAGCTTGATTTTGAAACTCAAAAGAACAGGAGATATTTCCCTGTTCTATGTTCTATAAAGTTCTACTAACCATTTATCAAAATATATGAATATAGTGGCTATGTTCCACATATAATAAATAAATGGATAGCTAAGATAACACAATACTTTCTGTAACCAATGAATGTGAGAATAACACTATACCTTCTGAATGAGATTAGTTCCTCCTGCATATGCAGCTCCATTTTCTTCTGCTATTTTAATCTCTGATGCACTCTACCAAAATACAATAGTTTGAAACAATCTTTAAACAAATTCACACTACTTTCAAGTATTTTGTCAGAAATAATATCACAGTTAAAAATAAAAATTGTATAGGTCATTTCAAAGAGAGCTTATGTGACCAAAACCAGGAGCTCTTAACACTGTGACCTAAGATTGAAATTCTCCATAGGATGTAATAGACACTTAATAGTGCTATGTTTTCTTGTGGAGATATAAAATTTTAAAAATAAAATAAAATAAAAATTGTGGCTTTTACTGTGAATTGAAAATCTGTCAATTTTCAATGAGATGCATCAGAAATATTGGTGCATACTGATGCATTTGTTGATGACTGAGGTATTTCTTGTAACATGAGCAAGTACAAAAAAATAAGGCTTAGGAACCTGCCAAGTGGTTTAACCTAAGTCTCCAATGCCATAAATATATCATCTTCCAAAAGTAAAAGATTAAAAATACTTAGTTATGCTAACTTAAATGAAGACATTTTATAAAACCAATATAGAGAGGAAAAGTTTTTTAAAATTTAATCAGTGATAGAACCAAAATTTAGCCTATTGTCTGAAAATTTAAAAAAAGATATACAGTATTAGTTATTTTTTCTCCACATTCCATTTATATCATTTGGTTTTACTGTGAAAATGTATCACTGCCTTAGTTACTAAAGTTTTGTGGCATTCTAACAGCCATATGCTCCACTCTTCTGGAAAAAAAGAATTTCTTTCTTGAAAGAGTGACAGATGAAGAAGAATCAAAACACTTCACAAAGCAAGTTCATATACACACTATAAACGAAGGTTTGTAATATAAAAAGATTGACAAAAGGCTATTATTACTTCCTTTGTCATAGCTTAGACTTTCTTCATTTTCCAGGCTAGATATTTTTAAAGTGTGGTTTCCATGTCTTCAGAGCACTATGTGGGGCCACTGCTTTAAAATAATTTTATTGTTGTTTGAGGAGTTTGAGTAAGAAGCAGGAGCTAGTAGGATAAATTCTATACTCTTCTTTCGTATCCTGTGAAAAACATAATATTGTAGACTAATAATAATGAAGGTAATGTTTTAGTTTAGCTTTTTCACACTAACAACATAACCTCAAATGAGTCGTCTTACTGCTTTGAACTTCAAATGGGGGAAAATGAGACTAGGTGAATTCTAGAACTCTCTGCAGCTCTACTCATTCAGTTACTCTAATCATTGATTAATGTGTTATACTAAATTAAATGGCATAAAACACTGATAAAGGTTACTCACCCCTGTAAATACAGCAACTTTATTGACTTCTGAAATGAATGGGTACGGCAACCTAAGAACACTGGCAAATGGCTCCACTTTTTTCTAAATCCACAACAATGGAAAAATGATTATGAAAAATTTATTCATCTTTTCTGTATCTCTCAACTATAAAAAGAACTGACATATTTTGTTTTTAATGTTTTAATTCTACTACACATCCTCTCATCAGTCCAGAACTATTCACTGATTACAATTTAAGGCAAAAGAGATTGTATTTCTCTTGTAAGAAACCATGATGAAAATCTGTATCTCTCTTACCAACGCCACTCTCTGTGGTACTTGGCTTCTATCTCTACATTATTCATCACAGTTTCTCATATTTTAAGAGACGTATTTGCATACCCATATCTCCCCCAGCACCTAATACAATGCTTTCCACATGGATGGCAATAAATATTTGCCACACTGATTAAATTTAAAAGAATATTTAGCCTTGGCCAGGTAACTAACTCGGTTGGAGCATTCCCAATATGCCAAGGTTGCAGATCTGATCCCCAGTCAGGACACACACAGGCATCCACCAATGAATGCATAGATAAGTGGGACAACTCAATGCTTTTCTCTCTCACTTCCCCTCTAAAATAAAAAAAAAGAAAATGCAATCTTTTGACATCATCAAGGAGGACACGAATTTAACTGTACATGCTAAAAAACAGAGAATATCCAGCTAATGAGCTCAGTGGGTCACCCCTGATCTCCAGCACTGGTTCTAAACGATACAGTGATATTAACCCGAAACCTAAGACAGAATGCCAAGCCTAAAAGGCTCTTGCTTCAGTGGGTCTACTTTGAAACAACCTAAATCACCTACACGTTCAGATATATTTAGGAATAGAATTGGAAAATCTAAAGTAATGCACTTGAGGCACCCAAATATGGGTGGAGATTCTAGGGCCTAACAACTCAGTTGCTTCGTAAAGGACGTGTCTAGGCCTGCGCCTCAGATTTCTCAGGGAAATTTCACAAGGAAACAAGCTCTAGGTCCAGAGTTTTGTGCAGTCCTAAGGTCTGGAAAAAAAAGAGAAAAAGGGTTCTTTCCTAATTAAAACTGAAAAATTGCATTTTTAGTTTATTTTGAGTAGAAAAAACTTCCTGAGGATTTCTTTTCAGACAAGAGACACAAACTCTTAAGTACACATTCTACCAGACATGCAACTCAATTTTATTCACTGGCATTCCTTTGCTATTAACATGTCACAACTGGTTTCAGTACATTTTTAATGGCAAGCAATCATAATAATAGCATCCCCTGGGGAATACTGGCTTGCCGTACAAGCAGTCTATCAAGAACAAAAAATGTCTCAGGAAGACAACAGTACCCTTTCAATGTGTCTAGTTTATAAGTGGCTTCCATTTATGAAACTTGTAGTCCTATAAGACATCTTTATGACACACATTAACAGTTGACTGAGAAAGTGATCATTTTGAACACCACAATATTTCTGAAATAAGTAAACTAACAGTAATACTGTGGTATAAGATAAAATTATAACAAAGCTAGTACAAACTGTTCTGATACAAACTAAGAAACAAGACAGACTGGTTTAAATTCTAACCCTACCCCCTACTCTGTCACCTTGAGCAAATTACTTCACTTTCTGTGTCTCAGCTGCTTCTTCTGAGATTACTATGGGGGTAAATGAGAAAATGCATGCAAAGCATTTAGTACTGTGGTTGGTACATAACAAGTTCCAGTAAATGTTGATTGTTATTATTAAACAACTACCAAGTACTTTATATGCATTATCTCATTCAATCTTTGCTATAACCATTTGAACCAAGCACTTTATCTCCTATTTTAGAGATGAAAAAACTGAGATTTGAAGAGGTTAAACCAGAAGCCCAAGCTCGAGGAGGAAATGCTTGGTGACCTCAGGAGACTGGCCTTTGCTGGAGTCTGACTCCAGGACTCATGCTCTTAAGCACTTGGATGCTGCCTCCTTCCACAAGCTCAGTGACTCCTGAATTGTATTCAACAACTTATACCTTTGAGCTTGACCAAAAAAGATATGCTGAGAATAAAAATTTAAATATCATTTCCAAGAAAATTACATTTCTTAAATGAGAAACTTGCAAAATTTAGAGCTATAGTGGACATCAATTCCAATCTAGTGTTTTTCCTACTTTTAGAGTTTTATAAACAAAAGTCTTCCATGGAACTGCAATATATAAACAAACCAAAGGTTCTAACTGAAGCAACGAGAGGGTTTAGCATTCCACCCATGCAAACTCTAAGGAAATCTCTGAAGGCCAATGTGCTAATCCAAAATCCCCGCTTGCAGAGCAGGAACATGACATTCAGCTTAAGTAATTTTTCAAAGTTACAGTAATACCCCAATTAATTTTAATACTACTACTGTTGAAATCTATACCAATGATTTTCTGCTAAATAGGAGATATATGTCATCAACTATGCAGAGTATGCTTAACATTCTATTTTATATTTGTAAAGTTAAAAAACAAACATATTTTTCATGCTAAAGTACAGAAAGAGCAAAAGTTTTTCTAAAAATTACTATAAAAGGCAAGTTTTAAAAACAGGAACGGCAATTTATATAGCCACTGTCCACAAATAAATTCATTTTAATTGAGTTTATATACCTTCTTCCCCAGTGCCATATCCAGTGTCAAATCAAGATAAACTCCTTGTGTTGGATTCGTAAAGTCCAGAATTTGAAATTTCTTAAGTAAATGAATAGCTTTCTCCACTTCGTATATCTGCCTTGGATATAAGCGTTTTAAGTAGACGTCATCCTCAGGTTCACCTTCCATAAAGGGATATGACTTTATTTTTTCTATCTCATCTTTTTTTTCGTCTGATGTTTTTCCTTTGGTACCTTTTTTTGTTTTCTTTTCAGGCCTTGAAAAAAGATAAATTCAAGATCAGTTATCTCTATACGTAGTCCAAGAAACTTTAAAAAAAGCCCATGTACCTAAGACAGAAAAAATAACAAAAGATAAAGTTTATTCTCACTCAAAAGCATAGAATGCTTTACAGTTTTTCTAGTTCAACAAACATTAAGTGAACTGTTGTACTCTTTGGAATCGATACAAAGTCAAATAAGGCATTGATGCTGCTCTCCAGAAACTTAGAGGAATAAACATGCAAACAGATCATTTCAACATACCGGTGTTAAACTGTAGGGAAGGAACATTTAATCTAGCTAGGAGGCTAGGAAATGGATCTAGAAGACATGACCCAAAGTCAACTCTTGAAGGATAAAAAAGAATTAGCCCAGGTATATACCCAAGAAAAATGAAAATGCATACCACATAAAAACTTGTACCCAAAGGTTTATGACAGCATTACTCATTATAGTCAAAAAGTAAAAACAAACCAGATGTCCATCATCTCTTCCCCAATGGATACATAAAATGTGCTATATTCATACAAGGGTATATTAATCAGCAATGAAAAGGAATGAAATACTGATATCTGATATAATATGTATAACCCTTAAAAACATTGTGCTAAGTGAAAGATGCCAGTCATAAAACACCACATATTATATGACTCCATTTATATGAAAAATCAGGAATGGGCAAATCTGTAGAGATGAAAACAGATTTAGTGGCTGTCTAGGGCTGAGGGGATTAAGGAAATGAGGAGTGACTGCTAATGAGGAGCATGGGGTTGTTTGGAAAGCAATGAAAATGTTCTAAAATTGACTTGACAATGGTAGCACAACTCTGTGACTAGGCTACAAACCACTGAATTTTATACTTTAAATAAATAAACTGTAAAATGTGTAAATTGTATCTCGATAAAGCTATTATTTAAAAAATAGAGTTAGCCAGACAAAGAAACAACATAAAAGTACTGAGGCATGAAAGAGAATGGTACACAAAGGAGCTCTTACAAGTTCTACCTCACTGGAGCAGAGGGGGCAAACTTTTTCTATGAAGGACCAGATAGCAAGTATTTTACAGTCTCTTGTCTCAAGGAGTCAACTTTGCCATTGTAATGTGAAAGCAGCCATATATAAAAATTAATGAGTAGAGCTGTGTTCCAATAAAACTTTATTTATAAATACTGGTTTAAATTTCATAATTTTCTTGTGTCACAAAACACTTTTTATTTTTCTAGTCATTCAAAAATGTGAATGACTAATTCTTAATTCAAGAACCATACAAAAATAGACTGCGGACCAAATTTTTTTAACCACTGGCCATATTTTGCTGACTCTTGAACTAAAGAGTAAAGCAGAAGACAGGAAAGAGCAGAAGATGAGGCTGGTGAATTTTGGTAACAGGAGGCATCCTCTAGAGGCAATGAAAAAGAAGCCACTGAGCAGAAGTGACACCTGTATTGCAGTTGGAGCTGCAACCTAAAGGGAGGGTTTAAAGAAAGCTGAATTGGAGACAAGTAACAGACTATTTCCTTCCTTTCTTCTCAAGAAGATATGACAGCCTAAACCAAAACAGTGAGGGTAATAGGCAACAGAAAATGAGAGATTAGAAAGCCATTTACAAGATAAATACTGAATACAGGAAAGGGGTAAGAGATGATTCTGGAATACTTCTTAGGTTTCTGGCTTGGGTGACTAGGCCTAGAATGGTATCATTAACTAAGACCAGAAATAAAACAAAACAGGAAGGCAGTCACAAAGATGAGTGCAGTTTGGGGCAATATAGAATTGAGTGTAGGGTTGCATCATTGGCTCCAATTCTTTTTTCCCTGTTAACCTAAAATACAAAACCAACATGAGAGAGGCAGCATTTATTTGAGATCCAAACAAATAGGTAGTCTGGAAAAACTGATGCAGGCAGAAACCCAAATAGTCATAGCCATATTATCTGCTTTCTTGTTATCTTTGCAAACAGTTGTTTAGAATTTTATGTTGCTTTGGGCACAGTCTAAAGGTTATTTTACCCAGTTTTAACATTCCAAAGCTCTGAGGAGTAGACTTACAAAGCAAGTTCCTCTGGGATGGCAGCTCCAACTCTATTTTAAAATGACTCAGTTTTTCCCTGGGCAGGTGACTCAGTTAGAGCTTCCTCGGTACACCAAAAGGCCAGTACACCAAAAGGCTGCGGGTTCCATCCAGGGTCAGAGCACGTGCAGGAGGCAAGGGAATGATGTTTCTTTCTCTCTCTCTCTCTCTCTCCCTTTCTCTCTGTCTCTCCCCTCTACCCCCCCTTTCTAAAACAAGTGAACATATCCTTGAGTGAGGATTAAAAAATAAATAAAATGGCTCTGTTTATATTACTTTTTTACAACCTTTTCTCCATTTGAGTTCCTTTGCTAAGTTCCTCCCATTTAAAGAGGTGAGGTATATATATTTCCCATCACCCTGATTTGGCCATGTGACTCATTTGGCCAACAGAATCAAGCAAAAGTGGCAGTCTTTCTGCTCTAAGTTTAGGTTATAAGAGGCTTCATGTATTTCCTTGTATTTTTGTATTTCTGCCATTTTCATAAGAACATGCCTGAGCTAACCCAAAACTGGGAAGACGAGACATATGAAATAGAGCTGCCCCCATGGAGCCCCAGGCGAGATTAGATAATTGGCACCTGACCTGCCTACTCACAGATGTAGTTTGCTCAGCCAAGGTCATCAGTGACACCCATCCAAACCTAGCTTAGGTCAGCTGATCCACAGACATGTGGGTGATGACAAATAATTGTGGGGTGGTTTGTTATATTGCAAAAGCTAACAAGGTGCTTACAGAATACCTAAAACATATGTTCAACAGGGAATTGCAGTTAAGAGTTTGAAGCTAAGAAGACAAAACTAGAGGGTGATATATTTTCTCTGCATTAATTCAAATCACACCTATAATCTTTTAGCCATAAACGTTTTAAGTTAGTGAAATAATATTTGATAATGATGTTTGAATTATGTGGTAGGCAGAATAAATAGTTTCCCAAAGATGTCCACATCTATACAGCAAAAAGGACTTTGCAGATGTCATTAAGGTGAAAGTCCTCCAAATGGGGATAGTATCCTGAACATCCAGGTGGGCCCAGTCTAACCACACTGAATCCTCGAGGACAGAGAAAGCTGTCCCTTTCCCACCTGCATCTGACTGAGATGAGGAGAGAGGAGAAATTCAAGCATGAAAACGGACTCAGTTTGCTGTTCCCAGCTCGGAAGATGGAGAATGGGGGACCCAAGCCAGTAATGCAGGAGGTCTCTGGAAGCGGGCAACAGCAAGGACACAGATTCTTCCCCAAAGCCCCAGAAAGGAATGAAGTCCTGCTGACACCTGGATTTTAGCCCATGAAATCCACATTAGACTTCAGACCTACAAAACTGCAAGATAATAAACTTGGGTTGTTTTAAGCCACATGATTTGTGGTACTTTGTTATGTCAGCAACAGAAAATTAACACGAGGTACTATAAAATTTATGTGCAAGAAATGAGTGAGAGCAAAATAATTTTTTTTAAAAAAGAACCTCAAAAACCATTCAAAAGTATAATTCCACTCTCACTTTTAGCACTCAATAAAACTTCATTACCACAACTGTCAACGATACCCTCAAAGCCCATGAACAATTTCACAGAACAGCAGATAATGTCAATGCTCATTTTTAATAGGACACAGGTGAGGACATGTCTCAGCAGGAGCCCAAAGGGATGCATGCAACACATCTCAGCTACCTGGGAAGTACTCCACAAACTCCCGAAACCTTCTAAACTGGAGAAACCACATTTTTATTCTATATTTAGTAAAAGAGCAGTGAGGCCAATGGAAGAAGGATTCCAGAGAGCATGCTTTAGTAATAAACTCTCTACCTAAAATAAAATGACTAAGAGTCACAGCCATAACCTACAGATTTCCTTTACATAAATGTGGATTTCACCACTAAATTTTTAATCATGGCTGAACCTATCCATTTAATTTGCAATTAACATGAAATTTCCAGGGGCTAAACTATAATTTTTAAATTAATAAATATTTACAAAACTCAACAAAAGTTTGATACATAAAGAGTCTGAGTTGGGTATACAACAACTTACTTATACTTTGGACCATATTTTACAAAATACATATTTGAGGTGATTCAGTGAAAATATTTTTAAGTTACAAATGGAATGCTGCTTTAGTAAAAAAAAAAAAGTATAAATCATTATGACATAGATCAAAAGGACTCTAAGGAAAGCACTTTCTTCCAAAACAATAATTAATTTCATAGACCCACTACCTGCTTTCCATGACCTCCAAAAAATGTCTGTCTTTATTCATAAGAATCATGTCCAGAAGAACTTTGCTCTTCATGTAATTATGCAAGGTCCTATCAGGAGAGCTTAAATACCGTAATTCTTAGAGCCTAAAATAAATCACACTAGAAAGGTTTTTTCCAAAAAATGAGGGAGAAACACCTGGAAATCTGAATCAAAGAGAACAGAATTGAGCTGCAGTTACCTGGGTAACTAAACCACAGAGATTAAATGAGTAAGAGATTGTATTCAGGTAATAACCTTCTCCCTGCCTCATGTCTCCCATAACAGCAAAAGCATGAAAGGGAAAAATAACTCCACGGTCACACCCAAATAAAACAATGTAAGAAAAAAATCAGTGCTATAGTAAAGTTAATTTCAAGACCTTTGAAAATCTATGACCCCGAAGATCCAAGTCCTTTGAAGACCGCAGAAACCTTTTACATTGAAGGAAGAGGGTAGGTGGCCGGGTATACAACTTGTGTCACATTAAACTGAATTGAACAGAACTAAAGAGAAAATGCCTAGGGCATGTAACTATTAATGGCATGTCAATGTTTGGAATTCTTATTTCACAGTGTAAATCACAAATAAATTCACTAACATTTCTGATGCTGGTTTATTCATTAAACTAAATGCAGAAGGTGTGCTGCCGTTTACAACGTAAAAGCTGACAGGATAAAACCCAGTCAT